CAGTGGCTAATCAATAGCTACAAGCTAAAGTTTAACAAACCAGCTAACAGCAAAATTTTAGTAAACCAGTTAACAGTAAAAAATTAGCAAGGCAAAGAATATAAGCTAAGATTTAGCAAAAATGTAGCTAAAAGCTAGAATTTAGCAAATGAGAGGCTAAAAGCTAAATTTATTAGAACCAGTAAGAAGCAAGATGAATTAAAACAAAAACTTATACAACAGAAGTAAAAAGTTAAATTTAGCAAATGAGCTGAAAGTTCAAACAAGCAAAACATCACCTAAAAGCTAGCATTAGCAAAACAGTGGCTAACGGTAACATCCTACATTTAGAAAACAAAAGTTGTTTACAAACAACAAACAATCCGACATTCAGCAGAACTTCCTGACCCGAAGCTTTGGTTCTCGTCTCACCGGGCTCAGCTGGAAGACCGTCGGCACGGCGTCGCTCTCCAGGTACCGGACCCCCCAGCGGACCTTGAAGCACGAAGGAGAGAAATGTTCGTGGCAGACGTACTGGTGTCGAGACGGGGTCCAGTTCTCCCGCCCCATGTTCCTGAGCCACCGCTGCAGCCGGACCGGGTCCTGGAGCGGGAACCTAGAACACAGTTTGGATCACAGAAGAGAAGCCAGAACCCTGCAGCTACAAACTAAACTGTTCGGCTGATTTTCAGGGCAGAGCATCAGACCTGATCCAGTTACAAACTTCAGAACCGGTCCAGGACACGTCTACACCACGACTCAGCATGTTGCAGCATGATATTATTTTACCGTACGGTTTAACTAACCAAAACTTTTTATCTTCAGCTTGTGATGCTGAAGGAAGCAAACTGAAAGATGACCAAAATATATTTATATTAAAAAAAAAACATTTTTGGACTCATTCTGCTGAATTCAGAACCGAGACAAAAGTTCTGGACGACCCGACATCGGAAGGTTTTAAGAAAACATCATTTTCTTCAACGGCTGTTTCTTTGCAACAAACTGCAGCTAACAAAGTAGCTAAAGGAGCCAAAGATCATTTAACACTACAGAACGCCGAACGAACTGAAACTGGGTCTGTGCAGCTAAAACGAGAAAATTAGCTAAAAAGGAGAAAAAGCTAAAAGTAACACAATGGTAGCTAAAAATTAAAAGTAGTCAAAGGCTAGCTAAAACTAACAAAGCTAGGTAAAAGGTTAAACTGTATAAGGCTGCTAAATAGCTATAGCAACAAAATGCTATCTAAAGGCTAAAAGTAATAAGAGGCTAGCTAAAAGCAGCTGAAAGCTATAAGTAGCAGAAGGCTACATAAAAGTTAAAAGTAGCAAAAAACTAGCTAACATTAGCACAAAGCTAGTTTGAAGCTAAAGTAGCAAAAGGCTTGCATGTAGCAAAACATTACTGGATGCTAAAAGTAACAACAGGCTAGCTAAATGTAGCAGAGGTACTTGAAAGCTTAAAGTAGCAAAAAGCTAGCTACACAAGCACAACGTACTTAAAAGCTATTGTATAGCTACAAGTAAAAGGTTAGCTAAAATTAGCACAAAGCTAGTTTAAAGCTAATGTATCAAAAGGCTTGCTAAAATGTCGTGCAGCGTTATTGGAAGCTAAAACTAAAGACAAGCTAAAATAGCAAAAGCTAAAAGTAGCTGAAATATAGCTAAAAGCACCACAAAAGCTAAAATACCAAACGTCTATAAGGTAACACTGAAATCTTGAAGTAGCAAAACGCTAGCTAACCCAAACACAAAGCTATTAAAAAGCTAAAGTATAAAGTTTTTAAAAAGTTGTAGTAGCAAAAGGCCAACTTGAAGCTAAATGTAACAAAAGGCTAGCTAAAAGTAGCAGAAAAGTTGATACAAGCTAAAAGTAGCAAAAGCCTAATTAAAAGTAACAAAAGGTTGACTAAAAGTAGCTGAAATGTAGCTAAAATGTCAACCCTAAGCTAAAAACACCAAAAAAAACTAACTAGAAGTTAAAAGTTATAAAAGATCAACGAACTAAAAGTATCAGAAATGTAGCTAAAAGCATCAAAGACAAGCAGCAGAACAGCAGCTAAAAGCTATCTGCAGCAGACTTGTAGCTAAAAAGTCTAAAGTAGCTGAAGCAGATTTAAAAGAGAACCAAATTTTTGAAAGAATTGAGTGATTTCCACGAGGAAAATAACTCGTAAATAAAGTTAAAGAATTAAAAAGTTTAAAATCTGCAGCACATCTCCTGAATGAGCTGAACACGAGCAGTAAAAACGTCAC